AATCAAATAATGGTAGAAGTACGGCTCGAATGAAACATGTTGTGGAGATCGCATTGGGCATTCTTTCTTTCGGTCATTCGGCCAATATGGAAAGTTACAGACAAGAGAAACAGATAAGGAAAAGTTAACATAACAAATATAACAGAAAAAGGAGTAAATCAAGTTAACACGCATTGGTCAGATTAGCCCAAGAAAACCATCAGGTTTATTTCCATTGGCGTCCTGTGAAGTGATATTATTACATAAAGTTGAAAGGAACCAGCCGGGCACTGCGCACGACGGTCGTCGTCCGACGCGATTCTATAAAGAACGCAACGCGACGACGTTAAAAAATAATTAATTCATTTCGAATATTGTATCTACCATTTGTACGCCACCATTTGCTTATTATTGTTTTTTGAGAATTTTTAAACAATTACGAATAAGCTTAAAGTAAGAAATGAGTAGTTTAGAACAAGTCACGTATTTTCCTCAATATACATTAATTTGTTTCTATTTTTATTCATGATTAAGTGTATGCCTAATAAATATTTGTTGTAACTAGATGTGGTTCTTACAATAGTTTGGAGTGGGTTTGATAAACCATGATGAATAGACTTATAAGCTATTATTATTGTTAATAATGATGAATGCAATCTATTAGGACTAGCCATAAAATTGGTCTGCTGTAATAATAGAACCAGAAGTCTGGCAAACTGTTATGAACTTAATTTTTGTTTCCTTTTGTACGCTTTACTTAAACGAAATAATAAAAGTGATAAACTATACTTCCATACATGTTAAATTATACACAAATTGAAAAGAGCATGGATATTCATAATTGGTTTCAGTAAATTATCCAAGAGATGTATTATGTTCTGTAACCTTCAATAGCAATGGCTTACCTATTGTTGTAGATGGCTGTGTGACCTCTGCAGTGCATCCTTCAAGGTTTGCTAAAAATGTTTGATCAATTGTATGTTATTATTTATTGCAGTTAATGTACAAGACGAAATAAGAGCAAAATACAATAAAGTAATAAAATAATAATAATAAAATGATAATAAAAGTAATGAAGTAATGAAAATAAAAATAAAATGTATATATAAATATAGAAATACTTTAATACTCTTGGAGTGATTATTATTAGTTGTAATAATAATTAAATCGTAGGTAGGGGTGTTATTCATTACAAAAAATGTATCGTTACCATAATCATTATTATCATCATCATAATTAATCCGTCAATTGCATAATGAACAACCTTTCTTCTCCAATCGATCTTAGGCCTACAATTCCCTTGCAAAAAACACAATGTGTTTTGCCCCAATTATACCTACCTGTGGAGTAGACAGAGTTTCGCCAATCACCGCCACACATTTCTTGTGGGTTGCCGCCACAAACAGTATGACAATCATCTTCGGGTTTTTGACCCAACCCCGAATACGTTTCATCGCTACAACGACATTCTTCACCATTTTGTAAACCAGCGTACGGATAACCTTGGTCGTAACAATATTGTATACACCATTCCGTTGTCATACCGTGGTGAAAAACAAATGCTGTCATCGTTCTACTCCAAAAGGAATCTTTAAAACAACCTTGGTAGACACTGGCTATATAAAAACCATTAAAAATAAATAACAATTATGAAATTAATACTAATTGATTATAAGACAATTTTTATTGTTTAAAATAATTTGTAATCTATGAGGATTTCGGTAGTCTAATTGGGGTATGTCTGTCAATGTCTGTCTATTAGTAAATGTGATTAGGAGGATACCTTAATTAAATCACCATGACCTTAATGGATAGCTCATAAAATTATATATTTAATGCACAGCCTAACGTAAGGATACCAATGTTGACTTACCTCTCACAGCAAAAAGTTGGAATTAGAATACATGCATGCATTATTGTGTTGAGTAAACACTAGTTAGTTACAAACTGCATTTTGTATTGCCTAACTGACTTTGAATTTATTGAGAGCTAGTCAACTAAGTACAGTAATTCGATGCAATATAATTTTAAGACACGATAAAACAGACTTCCGAGGACACACAGAAAGTTACTGAGAAGGTTTATTTACATTGTGGTCCTCATTAAACTCGAAACTGAGCACAACAATTAAAGTACGTTGTAAACACAACATTGATGTTTAATTGCAATGTCTTCAATAGCTTTTGCTTACCCGTACCATTCAACGGTGTATTTGTCGTAGGTCGTTGTGAGGCTTTTACAATGCATCGCAGGTTTGCTAAATTTGATAGTAAAAAAGTAAAAAAAATTGCTGTGCTGTCTTCAATTAATGTAGGTCTAAGGAACGGTCTATACAAGGGCGCAGATCTGTTTTGATAGGTGTGGGGGACATTTTGTGAGACCACACCCACCTCAGCCCCACCATGGTTGGGGTGAGGTGCGAAAATTTGAGAAAATAATACCTCTATGGCCGAAAATGACAATTTTGTATATAGTAAAATTCATCATCCTCACATTACCATTATTTCTGATGATCTTTTATTAGATTTTCGGCAAAAACAGAGATCTAATTAAATATGTGCGATGTCCTATAGAAAATATAACATAAAAACATTGTCTTTGATGTAAATACTTTACTTTACCTATTTCAAAGCCTACACCCACTTCGACCCCACCATGGTTGGGGCTAAGGTGCGAAAATTTGAGTACAGTAGTAGGAAAATAGTACCTCCAGATGGCCGAAAACGACACTTTTGTGTAGAAAAAGTCGTCATCATCACATCCACATTATAGTCAAAGTGCCAACAAATTTCTCATGATCTTATTTATGAAATTACATTGCTGTCGAAACTTGGGGGTTGGGGAACCAACCAACCTTAATTTGAAATTATGTGTGGATTAAAAAAAATAGTTTGTGTTGTAATTAGGGATGAGAATATTAGTTCTAGATCGTGTACAATAATTATGAAAGGAAGAATTAGGCATAACAATGTTACTTAAATGATTGGGAAGGATCGAATGCATGGCAGAGTATACAAGTGTATTGTTAAATTAAGTTAATTTCAGAAGATTCAAATTGAAAAATAGATTTGAAGAATAAGACCGTGGTGAACCGCCAGATATGATCCTGATAGTAGAGATTACGCGCTGTGAGACCCTGCAGATGCTTCTTGTATTTTGTTTGTTACACCTGTGTAATGAGCGCTATATAATGTTTATAATGTTCATATTTTTATTATTTTTATTATTGTTAATACGAAGAACATTACAGGGAATAGATGAAGAAAGTCTAGAAATGATGCCAAGGCTTTTCTCAACTTCACTTATGTGGTTGCACTTATATCCACTGTCTAAGTGCACTCCTAAAATTGTTGCTGATTGAACAGAGTGGACATGATGATTATGATTTACCTACCTGTGGAATAGACAGAGTTTCGCCAACCACCGCCACATATTTCTTGTGGGTTGCCGTCACAAACAGTATTACAGTCATCTTCGGATGCCTGTCCCAAATCTGAATACGTCTCATCGCTACAGCGACATTCCGCACCATCTTGTAAACCAGCGTACGGATAGCCTAGGTTGTAACAATATTGTATACACCGTTCTGTAGTCATACGGTCATGACTAATAAGCGCTGTCATCGTTCTGAATAT